CCAGGTGGCACTGATTCTGTTGTTGTCACGGAACCACCAAACCCAACTGTCACCACCACCGAGTATGGTTCCGTTGAAACTACCATCACATATACCAACCCACCAGGTGGTACTGATTCCGTTGTTGTCATTGAACCACCAAATCCAACCGTTACTACTACTGAGTATGGTTCCGTTGAAACTACCATCACATATACCAACCCACCAGGTGGTACTGATACCGTTGTTATCGTTGATATTGAATCCACAACTGAGTCTACTATTGAATCTACTGAGTCTACTGTTGAATCTACTGAATCTACTTCTGAGTCCACTGAATCTACTGTCGAATCCACCGAGTCTGCTGTTGAATCTACTGTTGAATCTACTGTTGAATCTACTGTTGAATCTACTGTTGAATCTACTGTTGAACCCTCATCTGAATCCTCAATTGAATCATCTTTTGAATCTGCTGAGTCCACTATTGAATCTTCAACCGAATCCACTGAGTCTATTACTGGGTTATCGAGTGAAACTGGGGTTCAATCTACTAGTGAATTTATTGGTGAGTCTTCTATTGAATCTTCAATGGAAACTACCGAGTCAACAGAATCTGCATTTTCTACTTTGTCTTTCCCTTCTGCTGTTTATTCAAGTTCTCTGGATTCTTCTTCAAAACCTCATTGGCTCAACACAACTGTTTCACAAAGTTCATTCCCTGATTATTCATCATCTTCAGAATTGGATTCTTTCTCAAGTTCGGTTGTTTCTGAAGACACTATTGTGTATCCATCACCATTTTCTTCATTATCATCTTCATTTGAATCTATGGTCATTTCTTCTACATATGATAATTCCGAAAACCCAAGTGCAACTTTTGATTCTTCATCATTTATTTTATCTATCGTATCTACATCAATAGAAATGGTATATTCATCTGAATCGGATTCAGTTATTTCCACTTCGACATATAGTTTTTCATCTGAAACAGATTCCACAGTTGCTTCTACCGAAACGGTACAATCATCTTCATATAGTGTTTCCACAGAAACAGTTTCATCAACAGAATCACAATCAATTGAACCAACAGGTTCCTCTTTAACTACTGGGGCTAGTGAGTCAACTACCAATTTAATTTCGTCATCCAGTTTTAGTTCATCTACTTCCTTTACTTTATTGAGTTCACCGACTGTTGTTGCTGTTTCTTCTGATTTGTCTTCATCCTTGGTTTCTAAATCTATCTACAGCTCACAGAATACAAACTTTGAATCAAGTGAGTCTAATCAAGGATTTCTTTCTTCTGGTATTGAATCACCATCTTCAGAAAATATGATTCCATCCACAACTACTGAATCATTCCTATTCTCAACTTCAACAGATCTTAGTACAGGACCAAGATCTAGTATTGTTTCTACTGAAAACCCTACTATCAGTAAATCTGCAGGTGATACCAGTTCTGATTCAAATATTGCTTCTATTGTTTTATCAGAGAATACAGTAACTAGTCCAACTAATGTTGATACTTTCACAGCTTCTGCTTCTGCTTCTGCTTCTGCTTCTGCTTCTGCTTCTGCTTCTGCTTCTGCTTCTGCTTCATCTACTAGTTATACCCAAGCTTCTTCGCAACTGATAACAACCATGTACCCACAAACAGTTTCATCTTCATCTACTCCAATTTCTGTTGCCATTCCTGTCGAAAATGGTGCTATGAATTATTCTACTGGCTCGATCTTGCTTGGGTTGGTTTATGTCTTTATGATTACTGTTTTCTAAAGTTGATATGTTGCTAAATTGCTTCATTTCTGTAGCTTGTTTTTCGGTCAATTATGAGGTTGTTCTTCAACTAATTTCTTTCCTTAGATATCCTTACACATTCAACTTTTTTCTTTCTTGAGGATAATTTTTATTTTCGTATCATCGTTTGCTTCCTTTCGTGCTAATTTATTCGAGAAGTAGTACGTGCTTTTCTTTTTGCTTAATTTTCTTTTTCTGTTTTTATAATTACATGTTTTATTTAGTAGTTTCTTATTTTCGGTATTGATATCATTTCAATATATGTTTGTAAAATTTTGCATATCTTAATTTAACCTATAGTGAATGCCACTGATGCATTTTCTATCAGTGATATTCAAGATGGATTTCGGGAAAAGACGCGTATACATTGAACAGACAGATGTTGCTTAATAGCTCACGGTATATCAATACGAACGATAGAGTATGGAATCAGTACAAGTGGTACGTGGCTAATTTTTCTTGGTCTTATTATTCACAACCTGGATCAGACTAAATATTTACTATAGAAAATATTTCAATAGTTTCTTATAGCAACCAAACCATACAAGATAAATATCAATATATACAGATAAAACACAAATAGTTAAGAAAACCCGAGTGTCGAATTCAACATATTTGATTCAGATTTGGATGTTCATTAAATAGGGGGACAGCACAACAGTGTATGAAAACCAGTCGCCTGTCTTTAGAATAAATCATTTAATAGTAAATGAAGAACAATCTAGTTAGAGAATAAAACTTCTGTGATCTTGAATAAAAAACGAATTTGTAGACCTTAAGATGTGACAACAGTTTATTATCAGTTTACTATTGCCCTGTGATATTCTCCAAATAATTGCTACAATCTGAATTTCGTAATAATTCGTGGCAATCAACTTATTACAAACTCTTGAAAAATTTTTAAAGTTCTTTGTATCGTATCGACCTGCGTATTCTTACGTACAGATCAATATTACAAATCCAGCAAAATTGAAAAGATTAAACCAATGTTACAAAGGAGTACAGGCTCGTATAATCGCATTTATTTTGATTCCAATGAACATGTTTAGAAAAGTGTTACAGTGCCTCTGTATTTTTTTACGCGCTAGTGTTCGTTGTTCTGCCTGCGATAATGGTATGAAGTCGAGAAAAGCGATACAGTGTTTCTACTTTCAGTTCGTACCAAGTTCAAAGAAATTATTAATACGAGTGCGACAATTTAATTCATAGTAAGGGAGATTAATTGTTCATAGTAAATGGAGTCAAAATGTTCACACTAGCGTAAATAATACTTTCAAACTAGCTGCCCTTTTTTTGTTCATACCATATATCATACTTTTTTAGTATGAACAAATAGAGGTTACGTAATATGAACATTTTTTGCGCACTAGTATCAAAAATATTGGCCGCCTTAATATGAACTTTTCTTTGCAGATAGTGCAAATAGTTTTGACACATTGATCTGAAAATTATGCTCAAACTAGCGCGAAATAAAACTGTAACGACTGTATATGTTGTATAACTGCAAATACAATGAACTGTAACTTAAAGGCTAGACATTGTATATTTAAACTATGATGAAAAAAAAAGAAATAAAGTAGAATTAAATTATATCCGCTTTGCATATCACGTGTATATCTACATGTGCTAGTATATCACGTGTGCTGTGTCAGAGTTAATCAAAAGAAGGCGAAAAAAAAAAAAGAAAATTAATCTTATTATGGGATTTGTTCTCCTTTTCTGACTTCTTTGTTGTTTAAGATGGGGCAAAACAAAAATTCAAGATTTGAAAAATCTTATCGTGATTTCAACAAAGCAATATCATCTCATCTCTTTTCTTTTCCGTCAACACACTTAAACACACCCATACACGATAATATAGACAATAATGGATAATAAAACTATTGGTATTTTAGGAGGTGGTCAATTAGGCCGTATGATCGTTGAAGCAGCTCATAGACTTAATATTAAAACAGTTATTTTAGATGCAGAAAAATCCCCAGCTAAACAAATTAATGCTTTGGATACTCATGTTGATGGATCATTTACAAATTATGAAAGTATTATTAAATTGGCTGAAAAATCAGATATTTTAACTGTTGAAATTGAACATGTTGATGTTGATTCATTAATTAAAGTTAAAGAATCCTTCCCAAATATTGAAATTTATCCATTACCTGAAACTATTAAATTGATTCAAGATAAATATTTACAAAAATTACATTTAATTAAAAATGAAGTTGCTGTTACTGAATCTATTTCAGTTGAATCTAATAATGTTGAAGAATTATATAAAATTGGTGATAAATTTGGTTATCCATATATGTTAAAATCAAGAACTTTAGCTTATGATGGAAGAGGTAATTTTGTAGTTAAAGATAAATCATATGTTGAAAAAGCTTTAGAATTTTTAAAAGATCGTCCATTATATGCTGAAAAATGGTGTCCATTTACAAAAGAATTAGCAGTTATGGTTGTACGTGCAATTGATGGACAAGTTTATGCTTATCCAACTGTTGAAACCATTCATCAAAATAATATTTGTCATTTGGTTTATGCACCAGCTAGAATTCCTGATACTTTAGCTAAAAAGGCTTCTATTTTAGCTAAAAATGCAGTTAAATCATTCCCAGGTTGTGGTATTTTTGGTGTTGAAATGTTTTTATTGGAAAATAATGAATTATTAATTAATGAAATTGCTCCAAGACCTCATAATTCAGGTCATTATACTATTGATGCTTGTGTTACTTCTCAATTTGAAGCTCATGTTAGAGCTGTTTCTGGATTACCTATGCCAAAGGGTTTCACTGAATTTTCCACTTCAATTACTAATTCTATCATGTTGAATGTTTTAGGTGATAAAGAAGTACCAAATAAAGAATTGGAAATTTGTCGTCGTGCTTTAGAGACTCCACATGCTTCTGTATATTTGTATGGTAAATCAACTAGACCAGATAGAAAAATGGGTCATATTAATATTACTACTTCATCAATGGAAGATGCTGAATCAAGATTGAAATTTATTTTAGGAGAATCTGAAGAAATCCCAGAATCTTTAACTATTAAAAAAGAAGCTCCATTAGTTGGTATAATAATGGGTTCTGATTCTGATTTACCAGTTATGGCAGTTGGTGCTAGAATTTTAAAACAATTTGGTGTTCCATTTGAACTTACAATTGTTAGTGCTCATAGAACTCCACATAGAATGTCTGAATATGCCATTGAAGCACCAAAAAGAGGTCTTAAATGTATTATTGCTGGTGCCGGTGGTGCTGCTCATTTACCAGGTATGGTTGCTGCTATGACTCCATTACCAGTTATTGGTGTTCCTGTTAAAGGTTCTACTTTGGATGGTGTTGATTCATTACATTCAATTGTACAAATGCCAAGAGGTATTCCAGTAGCTACTGTTGCAATTAATAATAGTACCAATGCTGCATTATTAGCTATCAGAATTTTAGGTGCTTATGATTCCAAATGGTTAACTGAAATGAATCAATATATGTTGAATATGGAAACTGAAGTTTTAGGTAAAGCAGAAACTTTAGAAGAAATTGGTTATGAAGATTACTTAACTGATAAATTGAAAAAGTAATTTTATATATATAGATATATATATGTGCGTGTTATCAAATATAGTAAATGCAATAAAAATGAAAATAATGTTTAAAACGAAATGAATGTAAATAATTAATTAATAAACCCTCTATTATACATAAAAAAAATTTCAACAATAGGAATAACGACTAATATTAATTTTAAAATTTAAGTGTCTTTCTTTTCTTATTCTTAAGTTGTCTTTGTTTATATACTTGTGATCTTGAATCTCTCCAACCAGAAGTACTCACTTTTTTCTTATCAACATCCATAGATTTATCTTCTTCTTCGTTATTATTATTATTTTGTTTTTTAAGTTCATTTTGTTTTTTAGTTTCTTCAGCTAATTTATTAGCAATTCTTTTATTTCTTTCATCAACATATTTAGAAAATTCACCTTTTCTCTTGACTGATTTAGCTTGTAATTTAGATTTGGATCTTAATGATTTAGCCATTATTTCTAGTTGTGTGTGTGTGTGTAGATGGATGAATGGATATGTAAATATAGATCAATGATATCTGATATCTGATATTTCCTAATATAAAATTTAAATTGCGATGAGATATTCTTGATAATCCCACCAAAGAGAAAAATACCAAAAAAAAAGAAAAAGAAATCTCAAAAAAGTGTGACATCCTCCACGTGATATTCATTAGGGTTACAGCCCTAGAATTATCTATGCAGTCGCAATGTTTACTTCATGATTTTTTTTCATTCAGGTGTGTGTGTGTGAATTGACTCAGAAAAAAAAATGTTTTCTTACTTTTCAAGGAATCGCATGGTGCGACCAATACTACCACCAGTTCGCCCCAAATTATGGCGCTACAGAAATTGGTACTCTTAGCACGACCCGCGAATATTTTTTTTTTCTGTTTGTCTCTCTGTCGTAGTTCCCCAATAGAGTGTGAGAGGCAACGGACGCAGCGTAGCAATTGTCTCCTCTGTCTCTCAGTTTTTCTCACTTTCTGTTCTTTCACCACTTTTTACAAAAGAGAAAAAAAAAAATCTTTTCATACTATTGAATTTTTGTTTAATCAAAGACCTTAATTAGATAAAAATGTATGTCTACAATGATGATGATATTATTTTGGAGTGATCAATATGACGATGGATATGATAATAATTGTTTAATATATTTGGAATTAGATTAAATAAAGGATAGTTTTATAAATGGGATTTATTGAAGATAATAGGGAGAAGATGAGGTTCAAGAGCAAATAAAAGAGAAGAAAAATTTTTTTCAATCATGAATTAAGGAGTTATTAATGAAAGGGGAACTATTATTTTAAATGAATAACTCGTCTAAATGAAATTCTGTCACCATCGATGAATTATCACTACTGAATCAATAACATTAAGATTAAGTATATACTAACAATAATTTTTTTCTAATAGGGCTAACTTGAGAACTCAAAAGAGACTTGCTGCTAGTGTCATTGGTGTTGGTATGAGAAAAGTTTGGTTAGATCCAAATGAAACCACCGAAATTGCCAATGCTAACTCTAGAAATGCCATCAGAAAATTATACAAGAATGGTACTATTGTCAAGAAACCAGACACCATGCACTCTAGATCTAGAGCTAGAGCTTTGAAAGAATCCAAGAGAGCTGGTAGACACATGGGTTACGGTAAGAGAAAGGGTACCAAAGACGCCAGAATGTCATCTCAAGTTTTATGGATGAGAAGATTAAGAGTTTTAAGAAGATTATTGGCTAAATACAGAGATGCTGGTAAAATTGACAAACACTTATACCACAACTTGTACAAAGCTGCTAAAGGTAACACTTTCAAACACAAGAGATCTTTAGTTGAACACATTATTGCTGCTAAAGCTGAAGCTGTACGTGAAAAGGCTCTTAAAGAAGAAGCTGAAGCCAGAAGAGTTAGAAACAGAGCTGCTAGAGAAAGAAGACAACAAAGATTGGCTGAAAAGAAAGAAGCTTTATTGGCTGATGCTGCTAACTAAGTTAATGATGGGGTTTGAATTAATTAAACAGAGATGGTTATATAGTTTCGTTTCCGTCCGTGTTGTATAACTTTTACCTCCTATTAATTTTTATTTTGTATATTTTCTATGTGGGCATTAAATATTTTTTTCTAATTTGTTCTAAAATGGAAAACTAAGTAGAGAAATCAAACAAATCAAAGTGTAATACACATGTATAAGTTAATAAACCCACTATCATTGTAAGAAGACTATCATTATAAGAAGACTATCAATATTTTTTCAAAAGTAATCCATGTATTAAACTATTAACGTAAAGAAAGAATTGAAAAATGATATATTATACAATCAAATAAAAAAAAACTTAGAAATGAAAATCAAAAATAGAAATAGAAATAAAAATAAAAGAAAATCCTGCTTCTTCCTAATCATTGCTTGAACCTACATCAATCATAACCGATGACCAGGAACCAAACTAAATAAAACAGTGAAAATAGCAGTGAAAATTAAAATTAAAAATAACACCCAAATACTTCTTTTAACAATAAATCGATAAATGAACTTTTCTCGTATTTTCATAATCAGACGTCCATTACTTTTGGAAAAAGTTTCTGATAATCCTAACCAAGCCATAATTGGATCTATTAGATAAATTGAAGATACAAGGAAATAAAATGCAAATAAGTATGGTACAACAATTACTGGTCGTAATCCTTTTCTATAATTCAAGAAAACAAGGATAAAACTTACCCAGAATCCAATAAACAAGAAGAAGAACCCAAAGATAATTCTCCAGAAGTTGGAATGGTTAACATTTCTAGTAGCCATGAAATCTAGAAATTTAGGCAAATAATCATTTTCTAATCTGTTGAAAACATAATTCTTAACATAGTTGAAGACATCAGGATCATCACGTCCATCAACCTCAATTGCTTTTATGATATGAGAATTTATATTACTTGGCAAGTTCAAATTCTTTTCGGAATCTTCAACAAAATATTTTAACAATAATTGATGGGATGATTCACGTAGATTGTTTCTAGTAATAAATGACCTACCACCATTATCGGAAGCTGGAGAATCTTTGATTAATCTTTCCAACAAGTTTGGATTTATAGTAGAAGCACGTTTCTTTTGTTGTGCAGTGACACTTCCTTCACTAAATAGATTTGGTGGTTGATGGAAATTATCACTGTGATCATTTTGACCACCAGAATGTAATGAGATATATTTGGAAACATTAACAGCTCTATCAGCTTGACCTATATCTAATTGATTTTCATATTCAAAATCGTGATGGTCAGCATCATCCAAATATGAATGACTACTACTATGTCTATCTTGAGATTGTGTTGTTTGTTGTGGACGAGGTTGTTGTAAACCAGAACTCATTCTTGGATTGGATAAATAACTAGGAGATGATCTAGCTTGACTATCTAAATGAGATGAATGTTTTGAGTTGGCCTCAATTTCTGCATTATATTGTTCAATTAAATCTTTTAATTTTGGATCTAAATTGTCTAAGTTTATATCTCCTCGTAAAAATGCTGATAATCTATGAGAATCATTTTCTTCAAGGATATTATCATTTATAATTAAATCTAATAAAATTGAGGAACTTAAAGATCTATGTTTAGATCTATCTGAAAGTGGTTGTGAATCACGGAAACCGGCTGGAGTTATAGGTGATTCAAATGATAAATCACCAAACTGCAGCAGTAGATGTTGTTGTTGTTGTTGTTGGGCCAGATCTATGATTTGATGACCTTCGACCTGTGGAGTTGGCTGTGTTGCAGTTTGATTATGTTGGAAAGTAGATGATTGTCTAATGATGGAGTCTCTTAAACCTTTAACATAATGTTTACATAAATTTAAATGATTGATTAAATCAAACCAAAAATCCAAATAGTCAACTTTCCCTTCAACATCCTTCATAAATTGATAAAAAGTAAATAAATCCACGGGGGATTTTGATTTATTAGCCAATATTTCTCCCAAAGTAGGTAATCTATTGAGATGTATTGATTGGTTAGTACCATTCAAGTTGTTTAAATTGGAAAGATAATGAGAATTGGGGAAGTTCAGTGCATATTTCTCGTCATACATTGTAGTGTATTAGCTGTTGCTTGTCGGTTGGTTTATTAGTGGAATGATGATAATTGTACGTGAATGATAACTAAGGAGGGTTGTTGTTTCAAAACTGCTTTAAATGACAACAACAAATAAAAATATAATAATGATAATTATAAGTTGATCTAGTATTCAAATAAGGATTCAAAATACAAAAAAAAAAAACGAAGCTAAACGAAACTAAACAAAATGAATGTGGAAGTGTTGGATAATAAATAAGTAGTTATAAACAAATGGTAATATATAAAATAAAAACTCAAAAACCAAAAAAAAGTCTAACCAAGGGGAAAGTAAAAAAATGAAAAAAAAGGAATGGCAAGTTTAGATAGGTAAATGAAAATGGAAATGATGCAAGGCAGAAGACCCTAATTGAGTTACCAAGTGAATATATTAAGTTGATGGGTTAGGTGAGATCTAAGTTTATAAAACAATTGAAATCGGGTAGTCAAGAAAGAAAACGGATGAACAAAAAAAAATAAAAGAATGAAATGAAATCAATTATGTGGATGTGTGTGTGGGTATGGCTATGGTTATGGTTGTGGTTGTGGTTGTAGATGTGTGTCGGTAGATGTAAATGTATGTGTATTAATATCTCTTCTGCTCAGTTTTTATGTATTGTATAGGTTGTTGATTTTTTTTTTCTTTCTTTCTTTCTCTGCCTGCCGTAGTAAATCGTAAGGGAAGGAAATGAAAAGACAAAAAAATTTTTTTATTAAAGAGTGCGTGTTACAGGTTACAGAAACAAAAATAAAAAAAATTCGTTTGTTTACTTTTGGCATGCACGGGTTCAAATATATTCACAATAGTATTATTTCTAAGATAAATTTGAACTTTCTCGTGTAAAATTTCGAGTGACGATTATGAGCGTGTATTGACACAGAATATTTTCATTGTTTACATTTTGTGGTGGTTTTTTAATTTTTGTTTCTCGTTTGATTCCTGATTTGCACACGTACACGCTCTCACTCGCGCACACATACACACATAGAGAGAAAGAAAATCATTTTCACTATACTACAAACCAGCCATCTCTTTAACCTTACAGTAGATATTTACCATGGCAACCCTGTTATTCCTTGATCATCTATATGGTCTGTACCCTGCGTTTAATATATCTTATCTCCTCTATCCATTCATTCAGGAGTTATTATTAGATACTGCTCTCTTCAAAAAACAAATTTTCCTGTAAATGTTTTGAGTTTGAAAGAAAATAAGAAATGTAATAGAATGTGTAACAAAATACTACGAAAAATTGTAATATCCTTAATGTAAATTCCCATTTTATATTTATTTTTCTTTTTGATACAATTTATTTTTAACTTAACTAAACTTTTTGCCTTATAATTTCCTTTATATGATTCTCTTGCTAATTAAACTCTTCTGTACAATTCATGCAATTAATAAAATGAGTTCTTCATGAAATTTCATCTTGTGCCTGTTCAAAAAAAAATAATTAAAAGGGTTCAAACAATTTATCATGAAATTTCATTAAATGTCTCACTTATTACAGCACCAGTTGGCTTTTACATTAAGAATTTATCAATTGGGCTGATTTTGCATGCCGTGTCAGATTCAGTGAAAATTAATGCGTACCTTTTTTTTTTTTTTCGAGTTGTTTTTCGTGGATTTCCCGATTTGGGTAATTTGTAAATAATGGGAAATGAATTCTCATTTGAAATAAAAAAACAAAACAACATCAATAACAACATCAAATCAATTCAAGTTTAACCAATCCATGATTGAATTGGAGCTTATAAAGTGACTTGTAATTTAATGAATAACACTTGCTTATTTCGAATGATGACAACACTTGACTACAATCATGAAACACATCCCCTTTTGGTTATGTTCCCATTGATTAATAAACCAATTTAATTAAGGGAAAAAAAATAAAATGATTGGCTGAGAAAATCTTTGCACGCATTGCATAAGGGAGAATTAAGAAAGGCTGCAAAAAAATATATATATATATAGCGGTCAATTAATAGAGACGCGTATCACTTGGTTAATTGGTAATCCATAGAGTGGCTGATTATGGGCCATGACTGTTTATTGATATCTACTTGGTGTATATAGATAATGTGTAATAAAATTCAGGTTTAACATTTGTTTCAAAATAATTTTTACTTCAAGAAATAAACAAAATTTCCATAAAATCATAAACCTATCATCAAATCATCTAAAATGGTTTCCATTCGTCTAATTGGATTTTATTAATGTTATACAGAGTAGTTTTCATTAATTATGGACCATTTTTCTTTTATAATTTATTAATAGTAAAAAAGAAACGTCACGTGACACAATCAAAGATATAGATATTATACATCCGAAACACGTGTGCCAATTTGTAAATTAAACGCGAATGACAATGATGATTATTTTTTTTTTTACGATAATCCATTTAAGAGTGGCCCACGCTTAGAGATCTACCGGAGTTATTTTAGTTATACAGTGATTATACCCATTATAATTATGCATTGCATTCATTTTAATTAATTAAATAGACGTTTTCAAATGAAAGTGATTCTCATTTCTAAATAAGATAAATAAGCTTCCTAAAATGAAAATGGTAATTTATCAAAGTTGAAATGTACTTTTTACTTTTAAGTTCTCTCATTTCTTGGATTATCCATTTTATTGATGACTATAAATAGTAAAGATAAAGAATAACTACAGATAGGGGGTAAAGTTATTTTTTTATACTTTGTCTTTCCGTTGAAATATTTATTACATATTGCTTACTCCTGATTTGTGGATATGAATAATTAGGAGGAGGATATATTTTTCTGTTTTGACAAGTTATTTCCGATTCTATAATTTGTGCATGAGAAGTATGTACAATTAAACAATGACACACCGATCAAAACGTGTCATCGGATCTACCTTAATGAATAGTAATAATAATCACTATATTAAAGCATCTTATTTAGATCATATTAAATGACTTTTCTACTTAAGCATAAGGGCTAAATCTAATAGATGGAAATAAGGTTACATTTTCAAGGTTTATATTATTCTTACAATGTGTGGCATTTTTTATTGGATGAAATATAAAAGTGCCACATGGATGGATGGGAGGATGAGGTAAGAGTGATAGTGGAGACAAGGCCACAAATAAAATGATCTAGTCATCATCTCAATTTAGTAAGCAAACTAGGCGATTCTAGTATTATTTAAAATAATTGATTTTGTTTCAGAATAATGGATTTTACATAACGTAAGCAACTGCCACACTAGAATTGGTGCGGTTTCTTTTTTTTAACATTTTGTAAGAGCGCAAAATATTGTACAGCACACGACTGGCTTATTTATGGCAACTTTCAACCAATCAGAGAAGAGAGATTTGTCATCATTGCGTAAATCACAGCAACTTCTCCATCACACAAAAACGTTGCAAAAAAATAGAATTTATCAGCCATTCCATTTTAGACAATTGGCAACAACACACAGTACAAATGATGTACACAGCAACATTCAGAAGATGAATAAACAGGGGAGACGTGGAATGAAGAGCTCTATGTTTCTACTGTGTGAAAGAAAAACAAATTACAACCAAAGTATAATCAAGTGTTCTATGTAACAAATTATAGAGTTAAAAAGTGTATTCAGTAGTATTGCTTAATTTTCATTATCTTTACCCTCTCCCCCCTCTTCTTCTTCTTCTCTCCATATTTGTCAGACGCAGAATGAAAAATTCAACCAAATTGAAATCAATCAATAAACTCCCATACGCAAAAACAACAAAAATCAGTACGTAAACAGAAAACAGCAAAAATTTTTTTTTTTCTTTTATTTTCACATTTGCCTTACAATTTGTAACTCTTAGAAAAAAAAGAGAGAAAAACCCGACCCAAGTGAATTTCACATAGTCAGTATAAATATTTAATATATTCTCCTCAAACATATTTCTTCATATTCTTCCGTTTTTTTTGTTTTTTTGTATTTTCTTACAACTTGGTTTTTTTTTTAGTTTCTTATAATTTGATTTTAATTTAATTTAATATAATTTATTCATCTGTATTGTCATCATTTACTTAATTCATTGTCATTATTACGTACTTTAGATCACATTCATCCATACATATATACTCATCCATCCTTGCATTTAACATTACCACATATACACAAACAAACAAACAAACAAATAAACAAATATAATGTCAGTAGTAGCAATCAAAAACGGAATCACAAGTCTCATAAGTTCCAAGAATAAAAAAGATGAAGAATTAGAAAGAGTCGAGAGATTAATAGATAACAACCAGATTCCTTATGGATCAACAGACGAATCAGACGAAAGAGCTCAACAAATTGCTAGAGAAGAAGCAATCATACAAGCTGCAGCTTCAATAACATCATCTTCTGGTGGTGAAGGTAAAGAAGAAGAAAATGTCGATGGTATAACTGCATTCTTCAATAGTTTTGATCCAAGAGTGATGTCAGATATAATTATAGGATTATCTGATGGGTTAACTGTCCCATTTGCATTGACTGCTGGGTTGTCTTCTTTGGGTGATTCAAAATTGGTTATTACTGGTGGTATGGCAGAATTGGTTTCTGGTGCCATATCAATGGGATTGGGTGGTTATTTGGCTGCCAAATCTGAATCCGAATATTACAATTCTCAAGTTAAAAAGGAAAAATTGGAATTTTTCAAAAAACCAGAAATGATTAATCAAGATGCTGCTGAAATTATGTTTGAATTGGGTGCTAGTGAACAAACCATTGTATCGTTTTTAAAAGATTTGGATGCTAAACCAAGAAATTTAATTGATTTTGTCATTAGATTTGGTAAAGGTTTAGAAGAACCTGCTGATGGTAGAGAATTAACTTCAGCTTTAACTATTGGTGCCTCATATTTCCTTGGTGGGTTTGTACCATTATTACCATATTTTTTCACTAGTCATGTTGGTACTGGTTTAATCACAAGTGTTGTTGCCATGTTGGTGGTGCTTATGTTGTTTGGTTATTTCAAATGTAGTATTTCTATGGGTGAAGGTTGTCCTACTCATAAGAAATTTGCTGCTGGGTTTGAAATGGTGGTTGTTGGTTCAATAGCGGCCGGTGCAGCATGGGGATTGGTTTATTTGATAGAGTAAAAGAAGAAATCAACGATTTGTACAACACCATACAGACAAGTGAACATGAAAAGAATACCAGAAGAATAAGAAGAGGAGATTAAAGAGGAGAAAATTAAAAATAAAACAATAATCAAAGACTATACATTTAACAATCTTTAATACAAATGATTGCTTATGATGGTTATTTATTTTTTTTTTCTTCTTTTTTATTATATATTATTGTATTTCACAAGTATTATTAGGTTTTATTTTTTTTTACATTGTTTACTTAGAGGTAATGATAGTTTAATGGGATTATTTTTATTTATTATTAATTGCATGGAGATTTTTCATTATTTAAAACTTTATGAAATTTCTCCTTATCTTTTTTTCTTTGTAAAATGTCATTCTCGGCCGAGATTTTTTTTTGTCCACGGTTCCAAATTGACTTTTTCATTTTCGCATCCACTATGTATATCTTGCAAAGTAGCAAATATGGTTTGACTAGGTAAAACGCACCATGGAGTAATGATATTCATATGAATTGTCATGAAAATTTAAACATATAAACCTTTGAAATAATAGATTATATCTGTGATAAATTATATAAGATACTAGTGATATTTGTTACTTTGTAGATAATTGTAAGAATATTTGATCATAGGTAGTTGTTTGAATATTATATGAACCGGACATACCTTATCAATTACACACCAAATAGGACATTAATCCATTATATAATTAATGTGTCATATAATTCTAAAATTTAACACAATAGTTATGTTTTCTTAGAGAGTTTCAAGTCAACTCCGGATTGATATTGCTCAAAACCCTCAGAAATACGAACTAGTTATTCCAAATATTTGACTCATTAATCTATATAAAATAATTGATTAGCTTAAGCTATCAGTACTTGATTGTACTTTTAATATGCATCAAATTGCTTAGAAATATCAACTGATTTATAAAAAAAATTTAATACTGAACTGCATATAATCAGACTGTTACAGCAAAAGTTTTCTAAATGGTATGAAAAAATAAAAAATTGAAAAATCGCCATGGGACACTACCTTTTAGGAAGTATTTAAAGAACTGGAATGAGAGAAGAATAAAAAAAGAAAACCCATCAATACTTTAGCAATGACTCGCCGCCATAGAACTAGTTGTGACGCAACTTTGTTTTTTTGTTTTCCAGTTAATGGGATCACCTTTATATATAGGTGTAATAATCCTAGCTACTAACATTAATCAGAAATTCTAGCATTTTGAGTATTGTCAATTTTTTGTTTTTGAATATATATCTACTGGTTTATGATTTTAGAATTCATTGTAGATTTTAGTCTCAATATTGTAGTTGTGTAATTGTTGAAATTGAAATTTAATCACGAATGACAGTGTACCTCTATTCACCCGTATCTTTGATTGAATCACTGACTCTTATTAAAATTGTTTATGATTTACTTTGGTTTGTCTACTCAAAGAACTCCTTGATGGAGGATAAAAACAAGAAAAAAAAAACAGAAACACGCTAAAATAATCCTACAACCAATCAGTGATTATTCATGGTTCAGCTAAATGAGACAACTTACATTCTTTGATCTCCCAATTGAGATAATTGATTATATCATTGAATGTTTACCTTACTATATTGTACTTGAGTTACAAAACTTTTCAGTATCACGTCCATATGTTTTACAAATACTATACAAGAAGGTGGAAATAAATTCTTTTAGTCCTCCATTAATACAATCAACTATAAAATTCCCTGATAGAAATGACTTGGTAATTAAACATATTCCAACACGAATGACGTTTGATGAATTAGATCTTGCTATCAAAGATAATAAATTATCTTGGACTCGTGAAATTTCATTCGATAGTCCCAAGACATTGTTTCGTGCCAATGAATTATATCCTTCATTATTAGAGAAAGTTGAAATTAAGATTGATTTTGGAATATTTAATTGGGTTGAAGATCCAGAGAAACCCAATTTTTATAAATGGGGAACATATCCCGTGTTGAAAATTTCTTCCCTTGAATCAGTGAATTATCAAACATTTTATCTGACTCAGAAGACTTTGGAACAGATGAATTCCACTCCTGATCACGCAATAAACCAATCCATTCTTAAAGGCGTGATGGAACAAGGTGAATTTCTTCGTGATTTGGTTAATTTTAAACATTTGGTTGATTTTCATATCCTTAATATTTATGGATCATTAGTAGGAATGCTTCCTAAATCGATTAAGAACTTAAAGATTGACACGCTTACTACTATAGAACCTGGACATCCAGTCGTTAAATTTCCAAAGGGTTTGGTTTCTTTAGCTGTCTTAGTATTGGATCGCGATACTACACAAAGTTTTGACCCTATTGATTTATCAGATTTGGAGCACCTTAAGTCCTTAACATGTGATTTTAGTAGGAGCTATAAGCTTCCGAGAAACTTACTATCCATTAGAGGTTCAGGGACAGTAAGTATCCCACAAGTGATATCGCAATGTCCCTTGTTGAAATCTATTGATTCTATCAATTTAGATAAAGGCTATGATGATGAATTTTATGAATTGAACGACGAGTTAGAAAACTTGAAAATGAAATGTGATGATTTATATTGTCTATTAAAAATTGACTCAGATTCTTTATCAGTTCAAAGTCACGAGAATTCAAAAGTGATTAAATTTCCTAAAATGTTAAAGTCTTTGCAAGTTTCACAAAGATATCACATGAGAGATGAATTATCATATCAAGTTTTTTCAAGTTTGAAAGATCTTCAATTGGATTATTTAACAGATTTATCGTTGAGTTGTTCTTTAACCGGTGACCAAATCTCACCATTACCAAGAAATTTGAAAACTTTATACATCAATGAAATCGAACAATTTCATTACAATGAATTGAAAAGTTTGAGTCAATTGAAATCATTGCATATTTTAGATGATTCACACGATTATTTTGATTATGATTTACCAGATACTTTGTTTGAGTTTGAATATGAAAACATGAATTGTGAACTTTTCAAAATGAGAGCTAAAAATCTTCAATATTTTAAAATTTGCGAGGCTCCATTTCAAGTACTTAACAGAGAAAATTTTGTACTCCCTGATAGTATCATCAATTTAAGAATTGTGAATTCTGACATTGAAGAAATTGAAGCATCATTTAAGTTCCCACTGAAATTAAGAGAATTGGATTTATCAATTAATAGATTGACAAGTTTACCTCAATTGCCATCTAGTTTAAGGTGGTTGTCATGTGAAGATAATGGGTTGGGTGAGATGTATAAACCTATCAATTTTCCGTTGGATTTAGAAGTGTTGAATCTCAATAAGAATGATTTTATTCATCGATTTGACGTCTCCAGTTTGAATTTATCAAACTGTACCAAATTACGAAAACTTAGTATAAAAGGTGATAAATCCTACTTTGAAATCTTGCATAAACTTAAATTATCAAATTTTCCTAAATCATTAATTTCACTTGATTTAGAGGATTGTGGTGTATTAAAATTCATTGGTGATTTTACATATTTTCCCAATCTTGAAGAACTTAATATAGCAGGGAATCCTGGTATTGAAGATGTCTTTTTAGGCAAGGGAAATCCATCACATTATTCTTATTTCCCAGATAGTATTAAACGTGTATGGCTTACAAAGGATTATCTTGATCCTGAAATGTTGTCTGCAATTGTTAATGATGCAAAGAAAAAGCCTAATTTTGAATTTGTGTTATTATCTTTTGTGGATGACTATATTCGTCAACTTGGAGAAAGGAATGGTTCTTATAGAGAAGGATTTTATGATGAGGACATGGATGATAGCGAAGATGAAGATAACATGGAACTGAATGACAATGACAATGATATTGATATTGATAGTGATCCTGATGCTTATGCTCATTCTTATGATGAAGATGATAGTGATATGGATAATAACGAAGAAGATACGCATATTAGAACCACAACACCACTGTTCAAACTTATCACACGGCACAATAATGAATCCGTCTAGGTATGATATTGATCAATGCCATATATAGTATTAGCAAAATACAACAACAACTCACAAATATAAATCATCTTGAATAAACTTGCAATTTATCGTCGATACATGTTATAATTGAACTCACTTTTTGTTTAGTACTATCAATTTGCTCCATAATACCGATTCAAAAGAGTTCAATAATGGTGTAAAATTTAGATTTAATAACTACTTCATAAGTATATCTTACAAAAACTATCTACTTTAACAACTTTTTTTAATGAACGGAATTGTAGATTCAGTATTTGCAATTTATTCACCTAGTCGTGTACCCGGGGACACATATTTGTTTCGGTTTCAACAAAGGAGAGAAAGATAAAAAATGAACGAAACGAATGAGAATAAAAATGAACATCTTTGTTCTTAATTGGATAATGGGTTGTGGAAGCTATTGAGGAAATCAGCTAAGGTGTTGTCGTTTCCCGGTATATGAGTGAAGTGGATATCGTATTAATTTGTACCTTAATTAACTAATAACTACTAACATTATTGAAATGTATTCTAGCATTGATTTTTTTTTATATTTATTTTTGTATAGAAAATAACTGTTGAATGTATTTATTGTTTTGTATTATTATTATTATTTATACCGACATTTCGATTCATTATCATGTAGAGTAACCATATTTACAGTAGTTTCCCTTTCATCATTTACTGTGGGGTTAAAGAAGGGGGATTTGATTGAATTTACTGAACGTTTAGAGAGGCAATGTGGATAGCGGAATGAAATTTTAATTCGTCAAATTGACCAACCAACAAACCAATTAAAGCAACACACAATTTCTCTTGAAGCTATTCACAAGGAATACTAGATATCAAATTTACACAACAATAGACAATGACTAAACTCACATTACTTGATCTACCTGATGAAGTGATTAACAAAATATTTCAATATCTTTCACATCGTTCAATAATTGAACTTCAAATTATCCCTGAATTAGAACCATACGTGTTAAAATTATTATATCAAAATGTTCAAGTTATAGGGATTGAACATCATAATCAATATGATTTAATAATTGATTTTCCATTTGGTCATGAATTTAAAATATATCACCCTCCACAAATTATACCTTATAATCGATTAATTTCCATGATTAAGAATAATACTGCAAAATATATTCAAAATATCACATTTTATGATCCTATTTTGTTTAATAAAATTTGTCAATCGTATCCAGATACTTTAAAAAATGTTAATATTACTATTGATTTGAGTAACATGAAATTCAACGAGAAAGTAGAAATTTTACCAATATTGTTTTTGATGTTTGAAAAATGTCATTATAAACTAGTGGGAATAGACATATCTGATACTGAAAACAAGATTCAATTACAAAAGCAATCATTTATTACTAGAGAAAGCTACGATGACATTATAAATTATGAAAATCCAAAGTATGAGGAATTTTATCAATTTGGAATTATAGATAGAATGAGAATACATTCCAAGTTTCCAACCAAGGGAGTAAATGAATTGGTTGAACATTTCGAATGTATCATGAAAGATGATTCAAATAGAGATCTATCAAATTTTCATTTTCCACAAGGATTAAAATCATTAAATATTGAGTTTGGTTATGATTGGGATTTTGAAGTACATGATCATATTGATTTATCAAAATTGAATCATCTTGAAACAGTCGACTGTGATAATAATTGCGCCTTGATATTACCAAAAAATTTGAAACAATTGAGAGTTACAGATGAAATATCTTTCTCTGAACTTTTAACTCAATGTTCTTCATTGGTATCATTAAAATGTAATGATGCAACATTGTACAAGAAGAACTATTCTAGTGACGATGAAGATTACGATGAAGATGACGATAATCATGACGACAATAACCACAATGATGGTAACGACAATGATGAGACTTTTAGTAGATTACCCGATGGATTAAAAGAATTAGAATTCGGAGAAGAAATCTTACACTCTTTATTGTGGAGGGATGATGAAGCAAATGGTTACATTTTAAAATTACCACAATCATTGGAAAGGTTGGTAATACACAGTGATTCATATCCTCGTGAATATACACGTGGTTGTTTATTCTCTGACTCGCCACGAAACGTATTGGACAATTTATTGGAATTAAAGTTACCCACCTATGAAACTTTTATGAATCTGGGACCGTTACCTAGAAATTTAAGAAAACTAACAATGAGTGGTGATATCTTGGATTTCGATTATATTAGGCAATTTAGTTATTTATCGGATCTTTGTATTTCATTCCTGACTTGTGGTTCTTTTGATTGTGAATTACCAGATAGTCTTTTGACTTTGACAATAAGTGGTGCCAAGTTAAGAAAAATCAATATTCGTGCTAAAAATCTTCAATATTTAGACGTTGAAGGAAATGGAATTACAGAATTAAATGATGATATATTTAGGATCCCTAATACTGTTAAAGAATTCAAGCTCAGTGGTCGCAATATCAAATGGATTACACCGTCTTTCATTTTCCCATCTGATTTACGACAATTGGCAATACAGGGAACCAGTCTCCGGACATTGCCAAAATTACCATTGACAATAAAGAGATTATTCTGTTCATACAATTTGCTTGGTAAATCACCCAAACCTTTTTATTTCCCACCCGATTTAGAAATATTGGATTTGCATGCTAATGAATTCACTGATGATTTTGATTTTTCAATTTTAAATTTATCAAGGTGTAAACAATTGAAGAAATTGGATTTATCTTATTCTGAAGGTCGCGATTGTCGAATTGATGATTGTAATTATACAATTAAATTATCAGATTTTCCTAAATCTTTAACTTCTTTAAGTATTAAAGGATGGCTGGCAAATGAAGTAGTGGGAGATTTTACTTATTTTCCAAATCTTGAAGAAATTGATTTACGTTATAATATTGCCATGACTGATATATTTCATATGAAACAAGGTCATATAAAATATGATTATTTGCCGGATACTATCAAAAGAATATGGATTTCAAAGTTATTTTTCGATAATAAACAATGTGATAGGTTTATTCAAATGGTTAAAAATAAACCTAATTTTGAATTCTTAGTGTCGGATGAGTTTATAGTTGTTGACGGTCATAAAGAAAGGGTACCAATTCCATATTATTGAAATCAATATTGATAAATACATCAGAGTAAACAATGTACAATATTACTACTCGGATCTCTTACTACCATCTTGATTGAAATCCTAGATCTACTCCTTACGAATAGTATTCATCCTTGTCGAGTTATTCTTTGGCACCTCGTGTACTTTTGTAAGAGGGATCTTTATTTTTGTCTATATCATACACGTGATAAACGCGTGTTTGATTTCTTTTTCAGTTGTATTTTACCAGTACATGTTCTTGAAATATAGACCTTATCAGTGGTAATATAGTAAATGTATAATAACAAAAATATGAACATGGTACTGAACTAGATAATTACAGTTTTATATAAAAAATACCACCTAACATGTGTAAAAACTGAGTGGCGGGGGAAGTTGAATTGACAACGGCTACAACCAAAGGTTCACAACCAAATATAAATTAAGCGTCCATTTACGAACATTCCATTATCAAATACTTATCTATAAATTATCTATAAAATGTGATAATTGTCCCAGCAACCAAAAAACAACAACAACAACAACAACTGAAAATACAATTTGGGTTATTTGATTAAACCAACCAAAATGGGACAAATGTCATTACTTGATCTCCCCCCTGAGATAATAGTTCATATAATTAAATGTTTACCAAGAGAAGCACTTCGTCAATTAAAAGATGTTCCTGAGTTACGATTATATATTTTGCCAATATTGTATAAGAATGTTAAACTTATCTCACCAAGAATACGTGATGATGATATTGACAGCTCAATGAGATATGTCTACAGCTTGCCATTTTCACTACCAGAGATAGAAGGAATTGGTATTGAAGAATTGTTCACCATTATTAAGAATAATGATGTTGAAACCCTTGGAACGGCAACAATTACAGATCCTTATTATTTGTTTATGTTACATAAGGAATATCCTGAAGCTTTGAAAAGTACTAAAATCATTGTGGATTTTAATAGATTTGAATGGGTTAGAGAAATGGATACGACATTATTATATTTTGAAAGTTTAGATGCATTACCTTATGAAATTATTGGTCTTCATTCTGTGAATAAAAAACATACTAGGCCGGTGTCACATATTGTCGTGGAAGTTCCGGCAAGTGATTCGGAGGACGATCTGGAGGACGATTTGGAGGACGATTTGGAGGAAATTTTTACAGAACTTAGATTAGAAGAAGTACCAGATGAAGACGTGGAGGAAAATTTAGAAGATGATGGGAGTGATCTACAGCTTGACATAGCTGACAATCCAGACGAAGGTCAAGAGGTAGACGATATGGATGTTGCTTCAGATAACGAGTCGGTTCTAGGCGGTGATAACGAATCTGACATAGACACACTTGGTGAACCAGAAGACGACGTTGAGGCACAAATTTTGAGTGAAGCCAATTTTGTTAAGCCATTTATGTCTTTCTCACAATTAACAAGTCTACTGATTAAGCATTTGTATGGATCGCTGTTGCAATTTATACCTAGCACGATTATAGATTTAAGCATAGATGAATTTCATGTTATTTCTGTTCATGGTACAGCTTTATTTCCAGAAGGATTAAGGTCGTTGGAAATTAATCAATTGTCCAAAGTTTTTCCTGACGACGATGATCCTGTTGATATTTCATATTTGGAAAATCTCGAGACTTTTCAATGCTGTTCCACTAGTGAGTACTCACTTCCCAAAAATTTGCAATCCATTGATGCCGAGGATTCTTTGAACTTACTTCAACTAGTTTCAGAATGTCCATCATTAAAATCAATAAAATGTTTATACTGTAAATTGGAAGGTGTCTTGAATGAAGGATTAAGTATATCAAATGAATTAGAAGTTATGGAAATCGATGAACGATTTCTTCAAAATTTTCCAAAATATCAATTGAAACCATTTAGAACACGTCATGTTGGAAATCCAGATGATGAAATGAATGAGACTGTTGTGTTTAAATTTCCTGAAAGGCTAAAGAATTTAAAACTACAATATGCATCAGATGATCGTGCATATGAAAAGGTTCAATTGTTTTCAAATCGTCCAGAAACCGCATTAAGTCATTTGACATATTTATGTTTGACTGTAGAACAAAATGGTCAATGTATTGGACAGTTACCTCCATCATTAAGAGAGTTGTTTATTCATAATAGTGAAAATGTTAATTTTAATATTTTGAAGATTTTAAATAATTTGACAAAACTTATAATTAAGTATGTTTATTTAACCGAATTTGATTATGATTTACCTGATAATTTAAGAGAATTTCATTTTAGAAATAATCGTTGTGAAGTGTTCAAGATTCGAGCAAAGAATCTTGATTATTTGGAAGTGCAAAGTATTCATATAGATAAATTAAATGATTCTAATTTCCAAGTTCCTGAAAGTGTTACTACATTGAGTATTGTATGCAGCAATATTCAAGAGATTGATTCATCATTTAAATTCCCACCAAACTTAAGACAATTATCGCTAGAAGATAATAAGTTGTCTACTTTACCACAACTTCCGTCAAGTTTATTGAGATTATCATTGCAGTATAATAAATTTAGTGAGTTAAAGACACCAATTGATCTCCCACCAAACCTAGAGGAACTTGATTTAAGTTGTAATCATTTACCCGATGGTTTTATTTTTTCGAATTTGAATCTAAACAAATTAACGAACTTGAAAAGACTAATGTTGCAAGAAGTCGATGGACTATTTGAAGGGAATATTCCAATGCTTGATTTGTCAGATTTACCTAAATCTTTAGTTGAACTTAATCTTAATCGATGTAGAATCCAAAGAATTATTGGTAAGTTTAGTGATTTCCCCCATCTTGAAAAACTCGATTTAAGAAGTAACAACAATAATGATAATAGTATTACGGAATTGTTAGATATAAAAGAAGATTCGTTGGAGTATCCATATTTCCCTGATAGTCTTAAACATTTATGGATAAACCGATTACTGGATAATGAAAACGAATGTGAAATTATAGACAATATTCTAAAAGTGGTTTTAAAGAAGCCAAATATCATCACAGCAATAGTTACAGATAAGTATATAGATGAAGAAGGAGTAGCCCATGATAGCATGAGAGTATTTACTGCTAATGATTTTGATAGATGTTTGGAAGAAAATCAATGGTGCCAATTTCCTATAAATTTTAATTAAACGCAAATTATTTTACCCAAATGCAATTGACAAATATCATCGTCTTTTAACTGTTAAAGAGTCATGCTACTAGAAACTCCACTTGTTTACTCCTCTAGAATATGTCATTCTTGCTTGCATAGGTAACACAATGTACAACAGTAGTTGTCCATCTTTAACTAACCCCGTTTTATATAATTATACAATAAGATTAAATTGTCACGAGTAGGAAATTGGTGATTTCAATAATATATCAAATCGCTCACTTCATACAGTAAACAAATAAATTCCTAAATTACGTTCTCTTCATCATTTTAGTTTTTGTTATTTGACATAGAACGTGCTGATAATACACGTGACATACGCGTCTATGGAGAAATAAATATCAACACACAATTTAATTTTATTTTTCAGCAACCAATAAACAACAGTTAATGTATTGACCAAACCAAGTGTTCTAAACAAGATGAGACAAATTTCATTACTTGATCTTCCCGATGAAGTAATTATTTATATAATTGAATGTTTGCCAGAAGAAGTAATTAATAGATTAAAAGATGTCCCTGAATTACGATTGAATATTTTACGAGTTTTATACAAAGAAGTTACAATTATTCCTCCAAATATTTATGGAGATGGTATATACATGATGTTTCACTCTGAAAGTAATATGTCAATTCGAACACCTGGATCCGAACAAATTGATATTAAAGAATTTATAACTAGTATTAATGATAATACTGTTGAAATTATTAAAAAGGCAACATTTACTGATCCGTCTCATTTATTTATGGTGTATGAGAAATATCCTGAAGTGTTGAAAAATATTAAAATCATTGTGGATTTTGATAGTTTTAGATGGGATAGAGAAATGGATAAGAATTTAATAGATTTTAAAAGGTTAGCTGAATTACCTTATGAAATTATTGGTCTTCATTCTGTGAATGAAGCATATAGTAAGCTGGAGTTATATGATTCAGAGGATGATGATTCAGAAAATGATTTAGAAAATGATTCAGAAAATAATTCGGAGGATTTTGATATAGAGCTTGTATCAGATGAAGAGATTCAAATTATTTCAGGAAGAGAGATGGAGGAATACCCCGATAGTGATTTAGACATTGATATGCACGAATATCAAGAAGAGGATAATGATATTGAAGATTCAGCTGATGCGTCGGATTTCAACGCAGACTCGGATATTGAACTTGAGACAAATTCATTGGATGAACTAGAAGATGAACTGAATGGATCAAATGATGGACCAATCACAGATTGGGTTGAAAATGAAATAATATTCAACAATGTGTCGACAATTTTAGCACAAGTTAATTTTGTTATGCAATTTTCAGGTTTCTCACATTTGACAAGTCTACTGATTAAACATTTATATGGACCTGTTTTAAAAGTTATACCTAAAGGAGTAGTCGATTTAAAAATTGATGAATTTTGTTTTATAGGTGCCCGTGATGGAACTTCATTTCCAGAAGGATTAAAATCTTTAGCTATTTTAAAACTAACTAGAGTTCAAGGTTTTAGTGCTGATCCTGTTGATATTTCATATTTGGAAAACCTCGAGACTTTTAAATGTGAATATAGTAGAGAATTTGTTCTTCCCAAAAACCTACAATCACTTGAAGCCAGTGATTCGATAAACTTGCGACAGATAATTTCAGAATGCCCATCAATAAAGTCAATTAAATGTTTTGACCTTTACGACAAAGATTGTGTGAACGAAGAAGTTAGCTTGCCAAATGATTTAGAAGTTTTAGAAATCATGGGTGACTACATTAAATACATGACAAAATATCAGTTGGAACCATTTAAAACAAGTCATGTTATAAATGTAGAAGATGAAAAGGATGCGGCGGTTGTGGTTAAGTTTCCTGAAATGCTAAAGAAATTAAAACTTCAATATGAGCCAGATGATCATGCATATGAAAATGTTCAAGTATTTTTGAATCGTCCAGAAACTACATTAAATCATTTAACATCTTTATGTTTGAGTGATTATGAAAATGGTCTATATATTGGACCATTACCTCAATCATTACAATATTTGTTTATTGACAATAGTACAGGTGTTGATTATGACGATTTGAAGACATTGAATAATTTGACATACCTTGATATTATGAATGTTGATTTAACTGAATTTGATTATGATTTACCTGATAATTTGAGAGAATTTCGTTTTAGAAATAATCATTGTGAAGTATTCAAGATCCGAGCAAAGAATCTTGATTATTTGGAAGTGGAAGGAGTTCTTATGGATAAATTAAATGGTTCTAATTTCCAAGTTCCTGAAAGTGTTACTACATTGAGTATTGAATACAGTGAAATCCAGGAGATTGATTCATCATTTAAATTCCCACCAAACTTAAGACAATTGTCATTAGCAGGTAATAAATTGTCCGTTTTACCACAGCTTCCGTCAAGTTTATTGAGATTATCATTGAGGTATAATAGATTTAGTGAGTTAAAAACACCAATTGATCTCCCACCAAATATTGAAGGACTTGATTTAAGTTGTAATGATCTACCAGATGATTTTAATTTTGCACATTTGAATTTGACCAAATATACTAAATTGAAAACATTATTACTACGCGAATATGAGAGAGAAGAAGAAGGGAATATACCAATTTTTGATTTGTCAGATTTACCTAAATCTTTAGTTGAACTCAATCTTAGTGAATGTAAAATCCAAAGAATTGTTGGTAAGTTTAGTGATTTCCCCCATCTTGAAAAACTCGATTTAAGAAGTAACAACAATAATGATAATAGTATTACGGAATTGTTAGATATAAAAGAAGATCCGTTGGAGTATCCATATTTCCCTGATAGCCTTAAACATTTATGGATAACTCGATCATTGAATAATGATAAAGAATGTGAAATTATTGACAAAATTCTAAAAGTGGTTTTAAAGAAGCCAAATATCATTTCAGTAAAAGTTACAGATGAATATACTGGTGAAGATGGAGTAATCACTGAAGCATTAAAATTATATTCCCCAGATGATTTTTAAATATACAGTATAAATACGTAGACAAATGAAACCTGTTGTAGTCGTGTCAAGATGAACAAAAAGAAAGAGCCCTATCTCTGTGAGAAATTGTTATAAAGAGCTCATCATTGAATTGAAAAAAAAAAAAAAATCAAGTTAATGTTTCAATTCCAGTGTTTTTTTTAAATGGGTATTTCTTATAGTGTTGTTTTTGCAGACTCAATGTAAGGTTGTATTTTTAGTTGGAGATTCAATTTTTCCTACGTTTGTTACTACAGTGGGGGGACATACAGTCGCTTGCAAAAAGTCTGGAGATTTTTTTTTCCTTTTGAAAAGTAGTGTACTGGATAATACACGAGAAATTCAAATAAATAAATATGTTCGTGTAGAACACAATTCCGATAGGAACCGAGAAAAATTTCACTACATCCGAATACTTTAGTAGATTGTTCACAGAAAAATACATAATTGTAAGTACCATCCATAGAGTCTCTATTGAAGTCTATATAATAGATATATATTCAATAGCTTGTATATTAAAAACAGTTAATTCTTTGTAAAACGGTACGTGAAAAACAGGAGAGAAAATTTTTTTTGTCCTCCGTTTTTGTGGCGTTTTTCAAAAGGAAAAAAAAATTTCCAGACTTTTTGCAAGCGACTGTAGATTTGAAAGCGGAATTGAAAAAATAAACAAACAAAAATTCCGCTCTCAGCCAAAATTCTAAGAAATCAGAAGAAAAGAAAACAATAATCCCTCAAAATGTAAACAAACAAAATTTGATATAAACAACGGCTTCGGAGGATAAATATAGAGTAGTTTTAATAGTCTCGTTCCGAGTTTAATAGTTTGTTAATTATTTCAAACAACATTAAATAATACTCTATAAAGCGCATTGGTGTCCAACACCTACTACTTAGACATCTAATATTGTCTGACCATAAGTTCTCTTTAGAAATTTTTGGTGCTGTAATCAACAGCTTCAAAAAGGCATGGTTCATTGCTTGTTTCTCATACAAATTCATTTTTTTTCTATTGGAATTTTTTGATTGTTTGATCACGGAGTATATTTGTAAAAGACACTACTTCCTTTTAATTTTTACTAATAGATTTTCGCGCTCACTACGATGGACAGATAATTTTGTCAATTTGACGAATTTTTCTTTGTTTATTTTTTCAATTCCGCTTTCAAATCTATGTCCCCCCACTGTACTAACTTTTTCATTATAAGTTTCTAGCATTGATTTTTATACATTATTCATCAATTGAAATACACATTTATATTTAATTTTTATATATCCATCTTTTCCTTGTTCATTACTCATTTAAATTATGTAAAATGTAGATAGTATCTTAACCCCAGTACAATCATTTATACCAGGTATATCTTTTAACAATGTCAATACTTACACTCTATCATGATAGTATTCATCATTCATAGTTGTAGACAAAGATAATAATTCAATGACAAATTAGAACAAATGAAAGATAAGTAGTGTACATGGTTACAAATTATCGATGTGATGGCACTCCATCGGCACGAGCATCCCCTAATGATGATATTTCACTTTTTCAACATTTTAATTTTAATATTCTTTCTTTCTTTCTTTCTTTATCTATTTTGGTTCTTTATTTCGTTTTGGTAATTCCCCTGCTTCGTAAATTTTGTTTTTGATGTATTTTGATGGGACTAATATAATGTTTGTATTTTCTTTGGCGTTGAATATGTCAAAACTACTAACGTTCTTTCCTCAATCATTATCATCTTGTTTTCAACAAGCTGTTAGATTCTAGCATTCTGTATATATATATATCTTTTTATTTATTTAGTTTTAATCATCTATTCCATTATTGTAAGATACTCATCTTTCTCCCCATCCCCCTCCTCCTCCCTCCTCTCAAATTCAAATTCAATATGATGTTTAAATCTATAGTTAAATTGTGGAATTAATAGATTCTATAATCAATCACGTGACTCGATTTTAGTAAGAGCAAACAAAAGAACAGGGGAGAAGAAAAAGTCGTGTATCTAAGCTCAACAAATTGCCCACAAGCGAGAACAGAACCAACAAACAAACCAACAAACAACGAACAACAAAAATTGATGTTTTTCGAAAAGTCGATATCTTTGATTGCCTTGATGTTGATATGTGGGCAATTCTGAGTTTTAATCAATGATTTTTTATATTTTTATTTGGAAGTATTAGGTTGTCGTAAGGGATTTTTGGTATATGATTGTGCATTAAACAAATATTGGATATTTCTAATCTGAATTTCTTTGTATAAATATCAGATAGTAGAATATTCCTTATTTGATACTAACTTGATTATTTCATTCTAGCAAAAACATTCAAATATTTATTCATTAATATATATATATATATATATATATATATATATGTGGTATACATTGTATTTTATATGAAATTTTGTCATTTGATAATGTGTAGATGATTCAGTTTGTTTCTTACTAACTGATTCATTCATTCTTTGACTTTTTGTTAATTAAACCTATCAAAGGTTACAAATATATTATTGATTCAAAATGATTAATAGTTAATATCTCTCATTAATACCATTTTATAAAGATCAGATATCCAGTATCTTTATCTCTTATTATTCATCTTCTCATTGGTATTATTTTCTTTTTCGATCTAAACATTTATTTATATGTTGAGCAAATCGAACCCCTGCTATATTTCTACCACAATTATTACATTGAAAATATTTTGAAGTTTCAATTTGTTTTAATTTAATTTTATCTTGATTTAAAAATTCTTTAGATACTTCAGGTATTGGATTAGTTAAATTATTTAATGTTGTTTGTTTAATTATATCATTTATTAAATCTTCCAATATTGATTCTGCCTAATAATAATCACAAAAATTCCATTGTTAGTTAATTATGTTGTTGAAGAATATAATCAATGGTGATGAACATACTAGGGCTCTATATGTTATTGGAGTATCTGTCATTATCGAGTAGTTGATCTTTTGGAGGGAAGAAGATATCTTGGTAGAGATTTTAAAAATATTTCAGTTTTGGAATCAAATACTCATTGAGAATTTTTGTTTGGTTCATTTTCACACGACTAAAAAAATAATTTTTTGCAAATATCAAGTCATCTTCATTACATTACATCACTAGTTTATCAAAGTATCACTAAAAAGATGGATGGATCAGAAGAAGATGATAGAATACAAACAGAGAAAACTTATGATATAGAAGATGAAATTCAAGATTGGAAATTTTTAAATAAATCAAATATACCAAAAAGAGGTGAAAAAGAATTTGAACCTGATGGTACAACTATTCAATCTTCAGCTCTTGAAGAATCTCAACTGACTATGTTTAATGCCCTTAATAATATTCGTGGACATCATTTAAAACATAAATTACTCGGTGTTTGGATTGAGGAAGGAGAAGAAGAAGGATATTGTTTTATATCTCATGTTAGAGGAAATTATTTTAAAGATTTAGGAAAAGGAATGAAATTTGGAAATGATTTACATGGAATGAAATTAAATAATTTAGAAACTATTTATTTAGCTGAAAGAGGTTCATTAATTGTATATTTGAATAATGAAGAATATTTAAATTGGTTAAATAAAGATGAACATAAGGGAGAAGAATTTGATATTGAAAAGAAATTAATTGCTCTTGATTTGGAATATCTATATTGTTTATTAAATATCCCATTAGCTAAATATCAAGTTTATGCATATTTGAAAAGATTAGGCTATGTATTACAAGAATTTACTCCTAAAGAAATTTCAATACCCAATCATACTCCAACATCAGATAGTGCAAGGAATCAGTTCACATTATGGCCAAGGGAATGGGGAATATTATCCTATCCTATATTTCATTCATTACATTTTAAAACAAAACATTATTTCAATTATACTGATATATTTAAATCAATTAAATTGAATACTAAACCAATAGATTATACCCCACCTACAAATCCAATGAATATAACATTTAATGTTTGGAAACCAATGCCTAATTTTTCAAAGAAAAATCCACCATTACCTGATTTTCAATTATGTGTTGCTGATACTTCTAAAAATACTAAATTTTTATCATTATCACAAATACAATCATTACATCTACAATTACAATCAATTAATGATGATGAAATGCCAAAAGTTATTCCAAAATTGAATACTACCAAAAAGGAGAATAAAAAAATGGAATCAAAGAAAGAAATTAGAGCTAAATTATATGCTCAACGTCAATTAAAATTAGATAAATCAATACAATTAAGAAATGAATATTTTAAAAAAAGAGATGAATTATTTAAAAATGGTGAAAATTCAATAATCTTAGCAATCGTAAATAATGGAATTATAAATTTTTTAACAATTTCACAAGGTCAATTCAATACTATAAAATCAAATTCAAGATTAAATGAAATTTATCCAAATAAAATACATTCAATTATATACAATTTTTAAAATACATACACACATAACATCAATTGAATTAACATCCGGTTAATTTATGTTTTGGGAAAGTATAACCACCTTGTTCAAAAGTAGTCAAATTCATATTATGATAGATATTTAAATGATTTTGAATATAATCATAAGTTGGATAATCATCAGGATCACAACCAACATTAATTGCATCAGGAGGTTGATAAACTCTAACATAATCAATCCTCATTGTTGAAGGAAACATTAAACTTGGCCAATCAATATAAGCCCAACTATTTGAAATACCTAAATTCATAATTAAAGAAATCGGTTCTTTTGGAAGTTGTCTCCAACCAATATTACCATTTGGATGTAATGCCTTTGCATGCATTGTAAAAGTAGGATCATCGCCAACAAACCAACGTAAATATCCATTTTCATCATCATTTAAATATTCATATCCATATTTTTGAAAATTATTTGCATTATCTCCAAATTGATACCATGTTGTATTTAACATTGTAACTCCTGAAACTGCTTGTTGGAATGGTCCACCAGTATATGTATTCATCAAAGTAACTGAACTATTATGAATTTCCATATAATCATAATCTGGATAATACCAAATATCATATGGTGCAATTTGTAATGATTGTGATACTCTACCAATAATTCCATGAATTTCCCCTTCTAATGCATCAATCTCAGGAGCACCTCTACCAACACCAGGATTTGGATGATCTTCACCAGGACATGTACATTTATTTAATCTTTGACCTGGTAAGTATGAAATACCATCGGGAGAACTTTGATTTGGGGTAATACCAGCATCACAAGAATCATAAGTATAAGGCCAAACCCCTTCAGTTGATGCTAAATATCCTGGTCTTCCTAAATTACCCATTGACCATAAACCAGGCCATAATCCTGTGATATTACCATAACCAGGTAATCTTGCCAGAAATTCTAATTTACCTTGAGTGAAACACATTTGATTCCATGATTGAACCATTCCAGAACGATATAATAAATTATGATTTCTAAAAGCGTCTAATCTTAAATTCAAAGTACCATTTTCAGTAGTTACAGCATCTGGATCATACCATTCTAAATCTTGAGTAGCAGCATAATGAAAATCAGGAGCTGTAAAAAATTGATCATCACCTTCATAAAAAGTTCTACCAATTGCATTAAATTCATCAGAAAATACCAATACCCATTCATCACCATCTTTTGAAATCCAAGTCAATGCATCTTCAGGAGTATCTGGATCAACTAAATTTTGTCTAATTGCACTCAACATTGGATAAGTATAATCAGTTAATATTTCATATTTCATAGTTGTAATTTTTGAACCATATTGAGCAAATGTGAAAACTGGTAATACAATAAATATAGCCAATGCACCAATTAATAATATTATAAATCCAATTAAACCACCCATTGATCTTTTATCCATATTTTTCAAATCATAAATGAATCGATTTTTATCATATTCTGCATCTTGGATAGGATCAGGATTATGTAAATAATCATCAGGTTCTTTTTCATCTATACTTAAAGGAAATGAACTTGCAGGATATCCACCAAAAGGACTAAAATCTTGTGAATTATCATAAATTCCCATTAATTCATTACTTGAATTTTGAGTGAACAGTGATGAAGAATAATTTGAATTATTATCTATTGAACTATTAATATCTTTTGTAATATTGCTATTTTGAAAAGAAATACTTTGTTGTGAAGTTGACGATGATGGTTGAACATGTTTTGGATATCTATCTAATCCAGAAGGTTGAGTCATTATTGAATTATTATTATTAAGGTTGTTGTTACTTTCATTTGATATTGGAACTGGAATTGGAGAAGATTGTCTATAAGTTGAATTTAATAAAGGTTGAAATTGTGATCTTTGAGTAGTATTTGGAGAATCTGAATATATTGAATTTGTTTCACTATAGTTTATTATAGGTTGTTGTTGGTTATTAGGAAATCTATCATTTGTTGGAGTTGAAACATTAAATTGTATTGAATCTGAACTATTTGTATTCGATTGATCAGAAAATGGATTTTGTATTTGATTGTTGTTGTTGTTGTTTACAGTTGAAGATTGACTGTTTAAATCCGTTGTTGAATTATTATTTGAAAATTGAAAATTTTCTTCATGACCTTCAGAATCAACAAATCTTATTTTGGGAGCATTGTAAGTTAGATCTCTTGCCATGGTTAAATGGGTTTAATAATGGTAGATTGGTGATATAAAGAATGAATAAATAAATGAATAAACACGAGTTAAGTAGAAAAGTAGAAAAAGAAGAACAACACGAATATAAGAAAAAGAAAACGAAAAAAGAAAGGGAAGAAAAATGGTTAATAATATATATAAAAATAAATATAAAGTTACATAATCTTACCACAAGTTACAGTTACAGTTTCTTTTCAACAAATAACCTTCTTGTTGTTCTTGTCCTTGTTGTTGATTATGATGATGAAATTTTTTTTTTTTTTTTTATTTTTATTTCGCAACTTTTATTTTTTTTTCTTGTTTACATTTTTTTTCTTGGGTTCAAACTAAAAATAATAAACAAAGCAAAGTAAGACGATTGGTCAAGGATTTCTCTTGGTATTGAATTAGCTGCTCAACAGGTTTCATAACTAACTGCTCTCATGGTAATGGTGATGATAATGGTGGTAGAAAAGAGAGTAGGCAGAGTAGAATACAGTTGTTGTTGTTCTTGTTGATGGTGGTAATGATAGTTGTGCTGCAGAAGTCACGTGAAATATTTTAGTGCGGAGAAAAAAAACCTCATAACTACGAACCAATGTGTAACATCTACAAAAATTGTATAGATTTTTACTCAGGAAATGAAGCAAATTACAAATCAAATACTAAGAATATTTATCTACAACATCGATTAATGGATATCTAGACAAATGCTACCAAATATTATAGATACACTTAGTCTACAGTTCCATCTAAGCGATCTTTCACTAATCAAGCTTAATTATCATTTTGCATCCAATATACAGATGTTAAAAATATTCCTCGACAGCATTATGTAAGCAATAGTTATGTCAGACTCCACTTTTCAATGTTAAATAGCCATGTGAGTATATATGAGAGAGAGTGAGTGTTACTATTTTTAAACAGTATTATTAAGCACAACAAGTTAAGAACAATATAAACATAGCCTCATTTGTGTGTGTGTGTGTGTGTACATCGTTCAATACATATAAAAAGGCTCGTCCATACTGTGATTAGTAAAAGTTATTGAGGTTTATTTTTCTTGATTTGTTTAAAGAACTTGAAGAAGAAGAAGAATAACCGCTTATACGAGTAATATACATGCAAACACGTCTTGAATGAAAAGAAATCCCAGCTTGATACATTCTCCTACAAGAGAATGTGTCAGTAAGACCATCAGGGCTAGAGTTAATCTAAATGATACACAAAATATCCATTCCTACTCCTTTCTTACTACTAACCAACCAACTAACCCACATTGTGTTCCTGCAAAGTTGTTGATTTTGTTCAACTTACGTACATGTCGTAGTAATCTCTTCTCCTTCGTCCAGTGCCCGCCCGCCCCCTTTTTTTTTTGCGTGTGTAGTAAGAGATAAACAAATCAAATACAATTTGTTTCACGTGTTTGTGATACCAATACAAATACAAATACAAAACCCACTAAAGACACAAGGCGCCTTCTTCTGGATCTTTTTTTTTATAGAACCAATACAAGGCTCTACATTGCTTCAAATATTATTATTACGCCAATCATTTTCTAGTTAAGCTAATAAATGAATCTGAAAAATTGTTTTTCTTACATTAAGCACATGTAATAATTTAACTCTATTAAGTAATTGAGTTCATTTTTTTGTACTTATATAGTAGAACATCGCAACAAAATTACTACATAAGAGAGCTGTCGTTGATGTTGATAATGTTGGTGTTGTATAGTAAGATGAAATTGTATGAGATCTTTGAGCTCCCACCCCCCTGTTGTTTTAATAGGACAAATCACGAGTTTGATCTAAATTTTTTATAAGCCAAAACAAATTCTTTACACCGTCGGTTAAATTGGAAGTGTGTGGAAATAGAAATCTCATATCTAACAATAAGAAGAAGAAAAAGAAGAAGAAGAACAAGCCTTAATCAGTGCAGATACTATTGAATAAAATTAAAATAATAAAACAAACACTAAAAAGAGGCAAAGTAAAGTTTAAAACTTAATAAAATCAGAAAGATAGTACCATCGGTCCGTGACCATCGGGGGAGGGAGGAAAGAGGAGAGAGGAGAGAGGAAGGGTGGCCGTAAATGGTTGTAAGTGGTAGTACTGTCTGCCTACATTTACGGCGACCACGCCAACTTACTACCACCACCACCACTAACACACTGCATTAAAAAAAATGAAAATTTCTTTTTTTTTCTTTACGTGTGTGGAATAATGTCGTGCATGAAATGTCGCGTGCTGTTACTTGTTTTTGTTGATTTTTTTCTATTTTTGGAATGTCGTATCGATTTGTTTCTATGGTGGGTGTCTTTGTGCCACAACAAGAAATTCAATTTTTTTTGATTTTGTTACACTACCTTGCGTTGCTTGTGTTGTGTTCTTGTGTGTGTGTGTGTGTGTGTGGGCATAAGCCATAAACATACAATTTCATGTTTTCTACACTCATGGGAAATTTTTTTTTTTCTTTATTTTTTATTTCAAAACTCTTTCTTTTATTTTCTTCAACAACTACTCATTATTATCAACAACAACATCAACAACTACTAATAGTTTAAACACTACTATTTCCATTCGTTTATTACTGATTGATATTTCACTGCCCCCCTTGATTATAATTTAATTTCTTTTTCGTTTCAGGAACCAAAAGAAAAAAGAAAAAAAAATTTTTCCTTAACAAAAAATTCTTGATTTCTAGATTTCTTGATTTCTTGAGTTTTTCCTTGTTGAAAGAAAAAGTTTTTCCACTAATAGTTATAACGACGACAGCAATTCTTACTCATTCTGGTTGTATTATACCAAGAGATAGTTTCGTCAAGAATAATAATATCGTCTACCAAGAAGATCATTCGTCATCATTCTTTCTTTCTTTAACAATATCAAGAAAAAAACAAACAAACAAACAATTCCCTTTAGTCTATTTTTTGATAATCTAAACTATATTCAAGAAAAAGAATAAATAATAGCAACGTTTGATTTTCATATTACATCGCCCGTAAGTTGCAAAAGAAATAATTACCAAGAGATCTATCGTATTGCAAAAATAATAACATAACATAACAATAACAATAATAATAATAATATATTCATAATGGCATCTTCGTCAAGAGATTTAACTTCAAATAATCCTCAATATAATCGAGTGAATCAAATTGAAGATCAAGATGATGATTTAAATTCAGCTTTCAATCCAAGAAATCCATTTGCTGATGATATAAATGATCCAGATTCTTCTGGTTCTGTTTCTTCTTCATCTCAACAACAACAACAAGAACAACAAGAACAGCAACATCCACAAGATCCTTCATCTTCTTCATCTCCATCTCCTTCAACTCAACAACATTTCCAAGAATCTGAATATGGTAAACCATTCCAAGCTTATAGTGGATATTATTCAAATGGAGGAAGTTCACAATATTTAAATCAAGATTTATCAAATTCTGAAAATGATTCAAAATTATTATCAAGTGCTCATTTCACAACAACTAGTCGTGATGTTTCATCTTCTTCAACTTCTGAAAACAAATTAAATCCAAAATCAGCTACTGAATTTGATAGATATCCTTCATTAGCCGGTTCAAGAGTTGTTTCTACAACTTCTTTACTTTCTTATAATAATCTTCATTCCAATTCACAAACTCCTCGTCCAATAGGTAGTGGATCTCGAGATTCAACTCATAGTAGCGTTAATAACGAATCAACCCTTTCTGATAGATCAAATAGTCCTTATGCTACTGATTTTAGTCCTTTTGGTGGATATCCTGCCAGTTCATTCCCATTAAGCATTGATGAAAAAGAATCCGATGATTATTTACATAACCCTGATCCAGTAGTTGATGCAGAATATGATAAAAATAGATTTATGTATGATTTGAAAAATATGGATAAAAGATCATTGGGTGGTTTAATTGGTCTTATTGTTTTATTACTTGGTGCATTGGCTGTTTTCATTGTTCTTCCTGCTTTAACTTATTCTGGTGCTACTAGTCCTTATCGTCCTGAACATTATGAAATTTTAACTGATTATACTTATCCAATGTTGAGTGCAATTAGACAAAGTTTAGTTGATCCAGATACTCCTGAAGATGCCCTTTATAAAACTTCTAAGGATGGTGATAAATGGGTATTGGTATTTTCTGATGAATTTGATGTTGAAGGAAGAACTTTTTATGAAGGTGATGATCAATTTTTCACTGCTCCTGATATTCATTATGATGCTACTAAAGATTTAGAATGGTATGATCCAGATGCTTCTTCAACTGCAAATGGTACTTTGAATTTACGTATGGATGCTTTTAAAAATCATAATTTATTTTATAGATCAGGTATGGTTCAATCATGGAATCAAATGTGTTTCACTCAAGGACATTTAGAAATTCTGGCTAGATTACCAAATTATGGTAATGTTACTGGGTTATGGCCTGGTTTATGGTCAATGGGTAATTTGGGTAGACCAGGATATTTAGCTTCAACAGATGGTGTTTGGCCATATTCTTATGATTCATGTGATGCTGGTATTACACCAAATCAAAGTTCTCCAGATGGTATTTCATATTTACCAGGTCAAAGATTAAATAAATGTACATGTCCTGGTGAAGATCATCCAAATCCTGGTGTTGGTAGAGGTGCTCCTGAAATTGATGTTATTGAAGGTGAAGTTATGACTGATTCTACAGGAAGATTAGAAAATAATGGTGTTGCTTCTCAATCATTACAATTGGCACCAATGGATATTTGGTATTATCCAGATTATGATTATGTTGAAATTTATAATAGTTCAGTTACAACTATGAACACATATACTGGTGGACCATTCCAACAAGCATTATCAGCAACAACTACATTAAATGTTACATGGTATGAATTTGGAGATCATGCCCATAATTTCCAAACTTATGGATATGAATATTTGAATGATGATGAAACTGGTTATTTACGTTGGTTTGTAGGTCAAGATCCAACATTAACTGTCTATTCAAAAGCATTACATGCTAATGGTAATATTGGTGCAAGACCACTTTCAAAAGAACCAATGAGTTTAATTTTAAATTTGGGTATTTCCAATAATTGGGCTTATATTGATTGGAATAGTTTATTTTTCCCAGTTACCATGAGAGTTGATTATGTTAGAGTTTATCAACCTCAAGATGCAATTAATGTAGGTTGTGATCCTGATGATTATCCAACTTATGATTATATTGAAAGTCATAAAGATATTTATTATAATGTTAACTTGACTACTTTTGAAGAAAGGTGGTTATACTTTCCCAAAACATAAGTTAATTGGTTGTTAAAAGGATTTAAAAAGAGTTATTGTGTTTTTGTTTTAGTTAGTTTTTATTTGCTTCTACTATTTTCTTTCATCATCATTATTATTATTATTATTATTGTATATTAAGAAATATAATTTATAGACATTGTTTGGTTTTAAAATTTGTTTATTTAATTAATTGTAGAATCTGTAATTCTTCATTGGTTGAAGAATATACTCCCCCCAGATGGGGCTATGAGCCGATTCCGATGGGGTTTATTGTAGAAACCAACAGTGGCATCGATAAATTATCAATCAATGATTTCTCATTTCGCAGCCACATTTGAAATTGGGGACCCGTGGAAAGATTCCAAAAAAAAAAATTTGAATAGGCGCCACAGTTTTTTAATGTACGGTGATAATCATTAATAACCATTTACATAAACACACAATAGTTAAAGTTTATGATTCAAGAATTAGATTATGTGTCAAAAGAAAGTAAAATCATGTAATTTTAAAAAAAGATTAATACTAACCGTTAATTAATTTAAAATGTGAGAGCCACAATTGATCTTCCCAGTTTTCTTATAAATACTCCCTTCAATAGTCATCCATTTCAGAGAATTAGATGTTCTCTTGGTCATCAATAACACAATGGTTTCATTGAATATTAACTCGATTGGTATAATTGGTGGTGGTCCAGGGGGATTAGCTTCACTTTATGAATTTTTGAATACTTCAAAAGATGGTGAATCTACAATTGGTACTGATAAAAGACCAATTAATCCAGCATTTTCTAAAATAGTTGTATTTGAACAAAAAGATCAACCTGGCGGAGTTTGGACTAAATCTAATAATAAAAAAGAATATGATTTTGAAATCCCACCTCAAGATATTTTAAATACTGAAAATTATAACGATCCTTTTATAATTAGACCTAAAAATGAAATACCTGATGGGATTCAAGAATCAAGTAAAGAAAATCCAATCATTACTGAAAAGAATAAATTACAAGATGAATTGGAATGGAAAAGAAATGGAATTTATCCATTTTTATTCACAAATATTCCTGCAAGATTTACAAGATTTAGTTATTTACCCAATGAACAACAATATCAAGATAAATCAAGAATTATTTATCCATTTTTATATCATCAAGAATTAGAACAAAGATTTATTGATTTTATAAATCAACAAGAATTAAATCAATATATTAGAACAAATACAACAATTGAAAATATTTATAAAAATCAACAAGGTAAATGGATAATAACAGCAAGGTATAAAAACCCAAATACTAATAAAAATGAATGGTACAAGGAAGAATTTGATGCTATTGTTATTGCAAATGGTCATTATACAATTCCATATATTCCAAAAATTAAAGGATTATCAAAATTTAATGAAAATTTCCCCAATGTTTTAATTCATGCTAAATCTTTTAAATCAATTGAAGAATTTGAAAATAAAAATGTATTAATTATTGGTGGTTCAATATCAGCAGCAAATTTAATTCAATATATTATACCTGTTGCTAAATCAATTACAAATTCAAAACGTGGTAAATCAATTGCTTTTGAATTTATTAACGATGCTTTAAAAGTTCCTGAAATTATACAAAAAGAAACAATTGATAAAATTGATCCTAAAACTGGTAATGTTCATTTTAAAGATGGTAGTATTGGTAAATATGATAAAATTTTAATTACAACTGGGTATCATTATCATTATCCATTTGCTTCAGATTATTTAAAATTAGTTAATCCTGGAAATTTATCAAGAGTTAAAGGATTATATTATGATACATTTTATCAAAATGATCCAACTTTAGGTACTGTTGGTATAGCAGTATCACATTTGAATTTTCATACTATTGAAGCAAGTTCAATTGCTTTAGCTGGTGTTTGGTCAGGTTATAAACAATTACCAAGTTTAAAAGAACAACAAGATTGGGAAACTTCAAATGTTGAATCCAAAGGTGATTCAATTATTTTCCATTATTATAATCATCATGAAGCAAAAGAGAAATTTGTTGATAAATTGGTGAATTTTGCTCCTAAAAATAGATATAATCCTTTAGAAATTGATGGGGAATTTGTTAATGAAATTGATGATGGATTGGAAAAATTATCTGAATTATATTATTCACTCAAAGATAAAAAATTAACCATTAAAGATACTTCGTTACCCGTTGAATGATGATTGGTAGTGGCATATCAATTAAAGTTAGTAGGATTGTTTTGTTTTTGCAGTCAAATATCCAAAAAAAAAAAAAAAATAAAAAAATTCAATAAACAGATTTTAGATTATTATTCTTAATCCTATTTGTAGATCAATTTATAATCAGTGTCATGGGTAAAGGAAGATCAATAAGGATTAAAAAGATCCATGTTGTTAAACAAAAAACAACTAAAGTAACATCAATTCCTCAATATAATCATCATCATCGTTCAATTACACCTCCAGTCACGTTATCGAGTCAAAAAATTTACGAAGAATATAAGAAATCTCAATTATTAGATCTTAATTCATTTCTTGAAGAATTAGAAACATTTAAATCTTCATCAATAACTACTTCTTCTAAGAGTAATAATAATCCAGAATTATTATTAAAACAATCTTGGGATAGATTGAAAGAACAATTGAAATTAAATGATGATATTTATCATTTAAAATTATTAGAACTTAAACTGAATGATGAAAAGAAACATTATAAGAATGGAAGAATATTGGATACTAAAGAGATTGAATATATTGAATTAAGAAATGAAACTTTAGAATTAATTAAACCGGTTGATATTATGGTTAATCAATTATTAAATGATTGGAAACGTGAACTTGATCACGAGTCTCAATTACCACCATTAAACCAAAGGGATGACTTTACCGAGTTACCATTAGATCATTCACTTTAATTGCTTATCCTTATCATCATCATTTATCATTTGGTTGTTAATTAATAATATGACGTAACTACCATGTTGCGACATTCTATCAGAACGACATTAGTTCAATTTTAAGGGGATACGACATTGCACACAAAAATTTTAATCAAGAGGAAAAAAATTGTGGGTCAAAAATCAAAATCAAAATCACAATCAGAATCACCACACATCAGAACTACCACCACCACCACAACAACAACAACTAACCCTATAAGGATGACGGAACCAACGTTAAATTTTCATATTCAAACACATCAGACACAATTTAAAATCCCTGTTGAACTAATCAAGAAGAATTTCAAATCAATACAAAAACTAATTGAAAAACAAAAGAAGCAATTGACTGAAGATATAAATAAGATTAAAAAGATTAAGAATTTATCAAATGAATCAAAATTGGAATTAATTCAAAAATTAATTAAAAATTTCGAAATTTTTAATAAAAAATTGATCAATTCAATTAAAAAAGATGAAGAATTTAGATCTCGATTAATTGCTAGATTAGAGAATTTACAAGAATTGGAGAAGTTTGTTATACATCTGGATGTTAAAACAAACAAGGATAAGGATAAGAATAACGATAATAATAATAGTAGTAGTAATGATGATGATAAGAGTAATGGTAATAGTGAGAGCACTGATGAAGGAGATAAGGTGTTGGATTTACATAATCCGAATTTGATCAATTGGTATAGAGATGAAACTAATTTATTAATTATTGATTATTTAATTAAATCAAATACCAGAAATGAAGAAAATGTTGGATTATTATTATTGAAGAGTTTATCAGAAAGTAATAATGGGAAATTAATGAAATTGATTGATTATGATTTATTTGAAAATTTCAATAAAGTATTTGTTTCAATAATTCAAAATCATGATTTAACATTGATAATTTCATGGTTTAATGAAAATAGAAACGCTCTTAAAAAAATCAATTCAAATTTAGAATTTGAAATCAATTATTGTAAATTTTTAACATTAATTGAAAATGGTGATATTAATGAAGCTATAAATTATTCAAGAGAACATTTATCAAGTTATGGAAATAAAGAAAATTATCCTGATGAAAAAGATAATTTAAATCATTTAATTAATTTAGAAAGACTTAAAAGTTTAGGTGGATTATTGGTATTTAGATCAATGGAACAACAACAAGAAGAAGACTTACAAAATTCCAATCAATTGACATTTTCAAATAAATTAATGATTAATTCAATACAATTTAAAGAATATCAAAAATTATTATCAAATGAAAGATGGGAAAGTTTATCCCAATGTTTTATTGAAAATTTCACCAAATTATATGGTATCACTAAAAATTATCCAATTTATATTTATCTTTCTGCTGGTTTATCAAGTTTGAAAACTAAGTCATGTTATCATAATTCTGAAAATACCATTTTCAAAGATTTAAATACATTATCTTCAGATAATATGGATACGGATAAACTACAAGACTTATCTGATGAAGAAAATATTGTATTATCAGATAAGAAATATCGAGGTCCAAATTATTATTATCAACTTTTAAACAAGATCAACAATTGTCCTGTTTGTTCACCAGAATTGTTTAAATTAAGTCAGAATCTACCATATGCTCAATTAATTACAAGTATATTTAATAATCCTTTCAAATTACCTAATGGGAATATTTATCCATTTGATAAATTACTATCACCAAATGATAAATATTTACTGGAGAAGAATACTTTATTAAGATTGAATCAAATTAAAGATCCTTTAACTAAAGAAATATTTTCTATAGATAATTGTATAAGAGTCTTTCCAGCTTAGGTTTATATTCCTACTAAGCTGATTTACCTTTGCCCCACGTCTTACTACTCCTCATCCTTATCCTCATCATCTTTATTATTATTGATCCATTCTTCAAATATATAAATTCTTGCATCTCTTTCAGAGGCAGGTTTAGTTGTATCTTTAGTACTATTTGTTCTTCTATGATGATATTCAGGAAACATACTCCAATCAAATCTACCTGATCTTTTCAACTTTATAACCTTGACTTTTCTCTAATATTTTAATACCCCATGAATGATAAGGTTCACCTTCAAATAATGAAATTATAATCTTTCCTTGAATGGTATTATATCCTTGTAAATCATTATTCAGATTAATTAATTCAAATACTTGTTTACAATTTTTAAAATACTCCAAAATTAACTTTTGATGATCTCGAATATTTCTATCTTGATCTTTAATTCCTTTCCCAGTATGTGGGAAATTAAACATTATATAATTCAATCCATCATTACTATTTCTATTTGTATCTTCATCAAATAATTTCAATTTTTTATTTGCTTTTTTTTTGTTTTGAATTTTGAATTAATTTTAATGTTAATGGTAAATTAGTAGCATCTACTTGATGAATAATTTTAACTCCAAATTCTTTTAATTCTTTTAAAACTTCATCAACATTTGGATATTTTAAAATTAATTCTTCATATGAATCAAAACTTGTAGCTATTAAATTTTCAGGTATTAAATAATTTTGTAATATTAATGATTTAGCAAATGTAAAATCCCCTTCTCCAATTAATAATACTTTATCTTCATTTAAAAATGGCATTAATCCTTTAGATATTCCTTTATTTCCATGTAATTTATTATTTTGTTTAGATTTTTTAGAAGTTTTCATTGATTTAATCTTATTTAATTTATTTTCATTTGAAATTTCTGCATTTTTAAGTAATTTAGCTTGGGTTTGTTCTTTTGTTTGATGTCGTATTAATGCTCCTTTTAAACCTTTAGATTGAATTGATTTCCCCTTTAGTTTTCTCCCCATTCTCGTTAACGAATACTAAAATTTATCCTATTTTGATCGATGATGAATATGATGATGATCATCTCTGATAAATTTACTTGATGGAGATTATTCTTTTTTTTTGGAATCAAATACACGTCTTATTATTGTACATAAGTACACGACTTGTGATTTTGTTCACGTGATTTACAGACATATAGTTAGTGGAATTAATTAAATGATATGTCTGATGGCACAACTAGAACTATGTAAATGTGGTCATTGATCAATTAATAATAATATTTTTGAATGAGAGTTTAGTTTCTGAGGGTGATTTGTTTTAAACACGTAGATTTGTATACTTATAGTACTTCCATGGCATGGTCTTATCATTATAGATACACAGCATGGTAATTAACCGTAACATATTGTCATCATTGTAGTAGTAATAGTAGTGGTAGTAGTAATAGTAGTATCCTCGGGTAACCAGTTGTTGCATTGTAACTTTAATAAAAATGAATGTTACATTCAACATTATTGTTACATTATGAAACATACAAAGCAAAAAGAACTGGAATTATAATAATAAAATCAAAAAGTATAAATACAGGTTGAAATTCCTTTTAGTTATTTTGTTATATTTGGACATTAGGGTTGTCAATATGGAACGTATGCAATTGGGTCAGGGTGCCCCATAGCATTTATGAATTATGGGATTGGTTGATATCTCTTTGGTCGGCAAAATAAACAAATGCTTGTTGAACTTTGGATTTCTTTTCGGCTTATATATGTTTTTAAGTCGTCAAAGGTACCAACTGTGGATTTGATTTTTTGGAATCGAATTGGACTTAAAAATATTTACTAACTATTAATGGTCGATATTCGATCTAGCATGTTTATAGAATGATTTAATGTATATGTATTAGGTTATATTTATTTTTGTTTATCATAGATACTGTAAATGACACTCTTCTGTATTGTTGTTCCATTATTTTCTTAATTGATGATGATTTGTCTGTATAATCATTTCTCTCAACTACAAATTACATTTAATATTAAGTGATGAACTCCAATCATTTTACTATACATCTTACAATACTACTGAATAAATGACTTGACAACTCATTTAAATCATCATTCAATCTCTTGAATAGACACCTTCTGTTAACTCATATCTCAATCTATTCGTTGCATGAATTACATCTTCCCAATTATGAGTGTGCTCTCCTTTTTTAAAATATCCCAAACCTTTATCAAATTGATTCAAAAACTCACTTACAGATTTTTCAGTTTCTGGAATAGGCGAATTATTATGATTATGATTAGGATGAGATTGCAAGTGGTTGCTATTTTCAAAATTAGCAGTAGTGTTTAATGATGCTTGTCGTTGTGGAATTTGCTTCCTGGATAAAACTTTTGCATTTCTATTATGTTGTGGAATCGAATCTGTTACTTTCAAACCTTGGGTTGTATTTAACGTAGGATATTTTACGTTATTAATATGCAAGTGGTTTTTGAATGATCCTTGTTTGGGTCCTGGTATAGTTGATATAGTTATTCTTTCATAATCTTCAAAATTCATTATTCCCTTTGATCGGTAAAACTCATCGAGTACTTCACGATAATTGTTAGGAATCTTACTTCTCTTTTTAGATTTCTTTGTATTGGTCGAATTTTGATTTTCCAATTGTGTAAATGAACGTTTTAGGTCATTTGAAAGAATTTGTTGTGAACTAAGATTGATATTATTATTGTTTAATGAATGAGCTAATGGAATAGGAACAGTATTAAAAATTGAATCAATGCCCAGCATGTTAGAACAAGAACTGCAATATCCATAATCATCTAAGCATTTTATTTTATTGCAATTCTTACAATTTATTCCAACTTGAGGAGATGGCAAATTCTGATATGTTTGGGTTGTATGATTGATTCCACGATACATCCTGACAAATGTGTTCTCTTATACTTTTATTCAACGTAAGACGAATTAGATAATTCTGAGCCAGGAATTGGATTAATTTCAAAATTAAAGAAAAATCCTCTTTATGCCATCAAAACTAAAATCGGTCGATAGTGCACGACGTACGCGATTATTAATTGGTCTATACGCCTATTACACAAAACATGAAATTTAAGTACACGTTATATACGCGTCTCTCTCACATACTTGCCCTCGCTTTGAAATATTCAAAAGGAAAGGTATAAATACCTGTTGAAGTTTCCTCAACATACATAAATTTATAATTTTATGTTTCTTTTCATTAGTATGACCAAATTTTCGTGTAAATGGCAACCGTTCTTTTCCATGTTAATTTTGGTTCTAGCTATTTTTTAACTACTAACGTTCAATATTCGATCTAGCAGAAAGATATACATGTATATAGAAGTTGTTTCTAATTTAATGTACAAATATTTACTTATAGCAATAACTGTAACTCATTATTCCCTACTTGGTTC